GTCTGTCTGTCTGTCTGTCAGTATCAGTCACAGAACGAGACAACTATACAGGCAATCGTCAATCATTTCACTATTTTTATAATTCCGTTTTTCTGTTTAATTAAGCTATCGCATTTTTATCTCTTTCTCTTTGCTTTTTTTGTTTTGTCTTCCCTTGCCCTTTAAGCGTCCATTAACTTCTCCCACGATAGCTGACTCCTCTCTCTCTTCTTTCCAGATCCTGGCGTATGGTATCTGTTCAAAGTATCTACACGAACCAAAGCTGGGTGGTCACCAGAAACTTCCCACTGGGTTGAGATGCCACCCGGTCCACCCACAGGTCCTCCTCTTCAATTGAGGGCCTCTCCTGTGTCATCAACTTCAATTCGTGTGACGTGGCTGGAGCCAGATGTGTGGAAGAAAAACGGTCCTCTGATTGGATACTCCGTGTTGTACAATCCTCTTAATCGAAGGGGCCAATCTTTGGTGAAAAATATCACCAACCCGAACCAAACTAGAGTGCTCTTGACGCGCCTAAGGATGTTCACTGATTATGAGATTCGTGTTCGAGCCCTGGGACAAAAGGGACCTGGTCCCTTGAGTCGTCCTGTCATTGAAAAGACAAACGAAGATGGTAGGTCTTCCGCTTGACTAGATGTTAATAACTTAAATCTGGCTTTGTTGACGCAGTCAGTCTATTTTTTTTCTATTATTATTATTTTGGCAACTTAATCACGCTCGTGCAATGGCTGTATTTAGAAGTAAGATAATTTATGTCATATACGTGCTTTGTTGGGTATTGTTTAAATTTGTAAGTAACGAAACTGTTCTAGATAAGCTTCTAAAATCTGTAAGCTGCTTGGTAATAACTGCATGCCTTAACCGCTCTACCTATGTTGCTTTCAGTTCCCAGTCCTCCACGTAACCTCGTGGCTAAGGCCCGTAGCACCGACTCTGTTGCGGTGTCGTGGAAATCGCCCCAGTTCCCCAACGGCAAGGTGTCGAGTTATTTAGTAATCTACTCGGACGATTCAAACATTCCCCTTGATCAGTGGAGCTCAATGGGAGCCAACGGACTTAACGCTAGTTTAAAGGCTCTGTCACGTGACACGAAGTACTGGATTTGTGTGGCCGCTGAGACGCGAGTTGGCCTGGGCAATTTCTCTTTACCAGTCTCCGCAAAGACCCTTAAATATGACTGTAAGTAAAGGGCGCCCCGCACAACTTGTTTCCTAATAAATCTCGTTCCCAGGGTCTTGTTTTCAACCTGCCTCCCGAAACTAGGTGAAACAAGGTCCTGGGAAGGAGATTTCAAAGGACTGTTTCCACTTTTTTACGAGGACCAGAGTCAACTGCATAATTTATGTGTACGTAACTAATTATGGCTTTTTTGTTTTATGTGTAACGTTCTGTGTGCTTGTTTTGTGTCTAGAAAACATTAAAACTTCTTATTGTAGTTTAGTTTTGTTTAGGCGTAGAAGTGCTTATTTGTATTAAACGCATACATTATTAACCTTTGTTTTGTTTGCAAAGAAATTCTGCCTGCTGTAAAGCTTCTCCGCGTTTGCAAACGTTTGAAATACTTTTTTCATTGCGTGTTCTTGTAGTGCCAGAAGCGTGCCGAGAACTGGAAGTCGATAATGGCGGTAGCGACTCGGTTGTGTTAAATTGGAAGCCGCCGGTCACAGATGCTGGAATAACAAAGTATCAGGTACTGGTCTCAAGGTGAACAAAGTCACGCAACGTTTCACCATGATAGGCGTTGCGTGATGGCGAGGAGAATGGAAATGTGACGTCCCAAATAGTTGTATGAAGGAGACCATCAAGAACTTCAATGAACTGATAGAAATAGTTAATGGATTCTGAGTGCAAATAGACAAAGTGAACTTTCTGCTCAGCGAATAGAAAACTGCATTCTGCGACTAGTTTTCTGTGAGCTACAAATGTACCCTTTATGTGAGTCACATTATATTGAACTTTTTGGCGTTTTTCGAAATTACCTTTGGGTTGAAGAATTCTTCAACATAATTAATATTACATAACTTAGCTGGAAAAACATTAGAGAGGCAATAATAAGCCAAAACGAACAAGCATAGTTAAGACTGGGAGAGGTTAAAATGGAAAAACGAAAGATTGACTTTAAAAATTTTAGACAGCCGTAACGTGGCTTCTTAAAATATCAAGTGTGTACAGTCCGATGTTATAGAGCATTTTCAGTCACGTGACCAGCAGCTATGCAAATGTATTGAAACAAAAACAAATTACCTAAGGAAAGAGTTCAATTCCCTCAGGATCGGTTTTGGTACACCAACACGGCCGCCGTTTTATTGTTTTGGAACACCAATATGGCTGCCGTGACGTCATGTCCATACGCTTTATTTACAACTCTAACTTTTTTTTTTGGTTTTCTTCCATCCACAGATTACATATTCGGGTTCAAAATCCTACAAAGAAAATGGTGAATTCAAACAGCTGTCACACACTCGTGAAGTCAAATTGGACGCAGTTTCCCCTGGTCTTCAGTCGCACACTTTGCAAGGTCTTGTTCCTCACACAACCTACCAGATAGAATTGTCAGCTTTTAATTCCATGGGCGAGGGACCGAAGATAGCACTGACTCTGAAAACAGATAAAGGTAGACCTCCACCGCTACAGAGGCCGGTGATTATCGAAAACGAACTTTCGGACGAGTTTGTTCCCATAGAGCTGGAGCCCGCCTCAGAGAGAAACGGGCCGATAAGGTACAATAGAACTAATTTTTCTCACTACAAAATCATTGCACAATAACCAACCGAGTGATGAGAATAACGAACACGATCAACTAGTGCAACTAGATGTGAATGTAATTGGTAGACCCCCCTGTTGCCAATAAAAAGAACTAATTGTTTCAATTCAGAGAAAAATGACATGATAAATGGCCCATTTAATTCATCTTGGTAACGCTCAAACGTAAAGCGATGAAAGCCTTTATGCAATATGGTAACATTGGTGTTATTTTACATACAGTTACTACATAGTGGTTGTAGTACCGCTGAGGAAGAGCAACCAACTGCCCAAAGATAAGATACCGGATGATTTCTTCAAAGAAGTGAGGCGCAGACGAGAGACCACTAAAAGGGACATTGATGAGCCCTATATTGCTGCCAAATTCAGTCCCTCCGAACTACCAAAGAGATTTAACGTGGGAGATAGAAAATTCAAAAATCTATACGGTTATTACAACAAGGAGCTGTCTGAAGGAGCCTATTACACAATGTTTACAAGAGCTTATGTCAAAAACGACAAAGGGGTAAGTAAGAGGTATTGTTAGGGTTGGTAAAACGTGAGAGGGGTTTAGACCACGTTTAACCATAAAATAAATGCAATTACGTACACTTATATTTCGTTTTGTCTGGTTTATGATTAGATCTTAGTTTCTTTGTGTTAAGATAAGGACAACACCATAGCTATCTCACCTCGAGAACAACGATAAGATTAACGAATCAGCGTGCACCAAGAGATAATAATCTTTCGCGGCCACTCAATGCAACTGAGCGAAAAGCAAATTTCTTTGTGATCTACACTGTAGAGCCCGCTTTGATATAAGGTCCTCAGAGGATCTTTAGAATTTTTAACGGAAATAGTCCAATTTCTGTATTAGATGGTTTCGTTCCTTTGGGTTTATTTCGGTTTAATGTCATGTTACCGCGAAAATAAGGCAACTTTCTTCACTATAAGCCTAGGGCAAAGGTAAAGTCTGCGTGAAGTTTTTAATCAGGCCGGCGCTTATACTCTCCAGTTTTCGTAACATGAAGCGACTAGGAGTATTTCTACTCTCCCGTGGATGGGATGCTAGTCCATCCCAGGGTTACCCCCAGCATTAAATTTGCCGGTAGCCATTTATACACCTGGGTGGAGAGAGGCACTGTGAGAGTAAAGTGTCTTGCCCAAGAACAAAACACAATGACCCCGGCTAGAGCTCGAACCCAGACAGCTTGATCCAGAGTCGAGCGCACTAACCATGACGTCACTGCCTCACAATGCTATATAAAGCTCGAAAAGCTCGTAACAAATGGCTGTTTTTTCTCGTAGGAGGCGCTATACACTTCTAGTCCCTTTGTAACACCTGTTAAGTTCGGTAAGTATGTTTCCGCATTTTTGAACTGGTTATGGTGGAACATTATATTAGTTATCACCCATTTTGTTTTCCTTTTTCATTTTGTGGTACAAGGTGGTTCTATCTTTCGCATCTGTGGTTGAAACCCTAATGTGTAGCCATTCATTCCAAAGCTGTTGAGCAATACTTTCACGTGGTTATTACGCTGAACAAGGTGGTTCTGACATGTAATTCTGCGAATAAAATTTAGTGTGTGACCAGTCAGATAAAAGCTACTGAGCAGTGCTTTCATGTGGTATTGTTTACTGTGCTCTACATGGTGGTTCTAAATTTAACGTCTGCGGACGAAACCCTAATGTGTGACCATTCAGGTGAAAGCTATTGAGCAGTACTTTCCTGTGGGGTCGAATGGTTTTTCATAATCAGAAATATTTATAATATTGCTATAACTGTTGCTAACCCCAGTTCGTCATATCAACCAGGTGCTAGCAACCAAGACGCAGTAATAAACACTGGGGCCAGGCAAGACCCTGAAGAACATACTGGAGGAGGACTGAATCTAATTTTTGTCATTATCCCAGTCGTGGCAGTCGTCGTTATCACAGCCATCGTTGTTCTTGCTGTACTGTTGTGCAGAAGGTGAGAATAATCTCGTTATCATTTATAAATGCAGTCGAACCACTCTTCCCTTGAAGGCTTCTCGGTTATGGCCGAGTTTGGCTCCATGACTAAGACAGTATGAGTTTCACTTGAAGCCGGAAACACAGAACTTACAAACAGTTAGAGCAGTTTTCAATTGGGTGCCGTTAAATCAAAACCAGAGTAGTCACTCTAGCCAATCACAAGGGACACACAATCCAGTGAACCAATCAAAACTCGAAGTAAATACGTGTAGCTGACAGAAAGCGCGGGAAATCATGCGCGCGTGAGTCACGATTGGTTTTGATTTTACTTCTGATTGGATGGAAAAGTGGCGCGAGTTTCTTAATACGATCGTGTAGCGCAGTAATGTAAAACCAACTATCTTTTCGCGTTCAAGTGAAAACCCTCTCAATTTGAAACTAGTAGATAATAGTACTTGTTTCAAGCCATCTGTGAAACCACAGCAATTAACTTTGCGCTCCTCGCTGACATTATAGGAAGAAAAGGAGAGGTAAAAAGTCGAAATCTGCGAACGAAGATAAATCAGAACCGTCGGACCCAGTAGAAATGAAGAGAATGACAATTCAGACACCAGGTAATAGAGGCAATAAAAGCGTGCTGAGTGGTATATTGGCACGTGAGTGCACGCGTGCGTGTGCCTGCGTGCATGCGTGGGAGTCGCGCACGTATTCCTCGCGTGTAATACAAATGTATGTGAGGTTTTGATGAAACCTGACGTGAGTAATTCAGGTGAAAGGTACTGAAACAAATCATGCGTGCTTATAGATAAATCTACACGCAAGTGCGCACGTGCGTGGATGCGTGCGTGGGTGTCATGCTCGTATGCCTCGCACGTAAGTGTGAATGTAAGCGAGGCTGTGATGACACTTGGCGCGAGTGATTCAATTAAAAACTACTGAGTCTTACTACTGAGTTTGTTCTAAGAAGCCTGTGGATAAAGATCTTGCTTTTGGCCATTAAAATGAAAGTCATTGAACAGTACTTTAATGCGATGCTGTTTATTATCAAGTACAAATCTACTAAGTCACCCATAAGAATTAATATTTTATTTTCGCAACGTGATTTTTCTTTTTTTAGCCATGATGGACCACCCACCAATCCCTGTTTCTGAACTTGCTAAGCACAATAGCAACTTGAAAGCTGACAACAACAACAAGTTCAGTCAAGAGTACAAGGTTGGTAATCAGTGCATCTATTGGTGACTTTCTCTTGTAGGGTGGAAAGACTAACTGACGGGTGTGGGGTGGGGATTCAGTATTTAGGGTTGAGCAAGGTTTCAGTATTTTAGGGTTAGCTTAGTATCTTAGGGTTAGCTTCGGGTTAGGTAGAGAATTAGAGAATTAGGTTAGGTTAGGGTTAGCTCTCCGGGTAGAGTTAGGGTTAGCAGTCAAATATTGTTAGGGTCACCCTTGCCCGTCACTTGTGTTGTTGTGCATACCCTTGGAAGACTTGCAAAGAATTTCTTAACTAAAGTCAATAAAGTAATTCCGTTAAATGAGCGTAGATTTACGGATGTCTCACCCTTTAGACTAACTAGGAAGAAAACCAATCAAGATTTCGCTTTCTTGCACTTTCCCTCTTTTAAACCAGTTCAGTGTTTTCATTTAACTCAGCTAAAAGAATTTCACTTCGAAAACTATTTTTTAACAAGAGATTCATGTGTCTTGCAGTCTATCGAGCCAGGAGAGACTTTCACGTCTGATGCCTCAACACAGGTCTACAACAAATCAAAGAACCGCTATCATAATATATTTGCCTGTGAGTACAACATAACTTTGATATTTTAACCCTACCTTGTTCCAGTACCTCTTTCTCCCAGGCGTTCACGGTCAATTGACTTCGGTGACGTTACGGAGACGATCGCCCCGACCATTTGTCCCGAAAACGATTGACCGCGGCGAAACATTGAGGCCTAGGAACTAGACAAACTCCAACCTGCATGGCAACGCTAACAGGAAGATTAACTTTTTTTTTGCTTTTATTTTTTTTCGCAGTTGATCATTCTCGTGTTCGCTTGGCAACCGTAGACGGTATTGCAGGCACAGATTACATCAACGCTAACTTCTGTGACGTAAGTGTTACATCAGAAAATTACTCTTCTGATAGAGTTCGAAATTCTCTTATAACCACGGCAAACAACACCCCCTTCCCCCGAAAAGAAAAAAAAATTCCCTACTTCTTTTTTTTTTTTTTTAATTTTCGCAAAGTCCATGACTTACCACTCAAATTAAATATACGAAATTATGGGGTGTTGTCCCTAAGCCCCCTATCCCCAACCTCCTCCCTAACCCTCCATTCACGTGCACAATCCTAAAATTTTCGTTAAGTTGTAAAAAGACGTTTAAAAGATGTCGTTTGACATACTTAATGATGATTATTGTCATATTTGTAGGGTTATCGGAAAGAAAATGCGTACATCGCAACTCAAGGTAACTTTTTGCTATCCATTTACGTATTGAAATATTGTTTTATTTTTTATTTCAAGTACTTTATCAAATAAATCGTCTGATGCTTTTATGTTGTATTGATGGCGTTCTTTTTAACAGGTCCTCTTGAGGAAACAATAGATGACTTCTGGCGGATGATCTGGGAGTACAAGACGTTCACAATTGTCATGCTCACAGAACTAGAGGAAAATGGAAGGGTGCGTTAAGTTTCAAGTTCGTCGTTTGTAATCCGTGTTAGTCTTCTCCATCCTTAACCATCCTTGTTCCTTTATGGTTTATCATTATCTCTTTGGTGTTTTTTTATCTTAGTAAACTACTATTTTGAGGTTTTCTTCAATTTAAAGGGTAATTTTGTAGGTGGCCAAAATAACTCAAAACACCGTGATTGTGCTGCTTAAAAGGATCTTTCAGAAATACTTACAATATATATTTCTTGAGAGTAACAGTGTTTTCTGCAAGAGCAAAACACAGAACTCGAAACAGTGATATTTGGTCACAATTTGGTCACGCAACTCACCAGGCTATCGCTCAATTTAGTAACGCATTAAGTAACCATGTCACGCGTTTCTGTTCTCAGATCAAATGTGCACACTACTGGCCGAGCGAAGGAACTGAACAATACGGTGATATTGAGGTCATTGTTACAGACTGGATTGAGTTCGCTAACTACACAATAACAACGTTTCAAGTCTGCAAGGTAAGTAAAACGACTCATTGACCTGCTGGATATAGAACAAATTAGTCCATGCTTTTTCGTTTTGGGCAGAAAAGAAAACTGTATTAGCCATGGGTTTTCCCGTTGACGTGAAATTCTCATTTTTGCGGTGATATTGATCCATAAAATGTTGAAATTGTATCACCTTAGAAGAAAAAAATCCGAGTTCCAGATGGGATTTGAACCCATGACCCTCCGAGATCTAGCCGGACGCTCTAACCACTGATGAGCAAGGGTGAAATGCGGGTATTTGACTAGGACCGCATTTCGCGGTCAAGCAGCCAAATAATGATTTGGCACATATGAACTCATAACTGCATCACGCAGCCACATTGAGACATCTCAAAGATGCAACCAATCGCCCTCCAAGGTGAGTATTACAATGAATATTAAATAAAGAAATAGCAATATTTCTAATTAATCCATCTTTGTTAATTCAACAGGATGGCGCCCCACAGCCCAGGGAAGTCAAACATTTCCAATTCACTGGCTGGCCTGATCATGACCTCCCACCCCACCCTACCCCATTCTTAGCGTTCCTCAGAAGAGTACGCTTCTACAATCCTACGGACGCTGGTCCTATCGTGGTACATTGCGGGTAACAAACCGGTTTATTACCTGTTTTGATTAAAATTTGAGTGAAGTTTCTTTAGCAAATTGCAGTTGACTTACTATCATAACAATTCTTTTCTGTTTTTCGTTTTCTTTTTTTATTCATTGTAGTGGTGGTGTTGGTCGTACAGCGTGTTTCATCGTCATAGACTCCATGTTGGAAAGAGTCAAACATGAAAATACAGTCGATATTTACGGGCACGTGACGGTGCTAAGAACGCAACGTAACTTCATGGTACAAAAAGAGGTAAGTCGACGTTCTCGTTTTCAGTTGTAACGCCAAAAAAACACAACGGCCCACATGAAAATTTTCTTATTAACCCTTTTTTGAATCGTAAGGGTTTTATCCACAGTCTTAAAAGTTAGAAACACCTCGTACAACATTATAAAAAGTTCCACATGAAAGTACTACTCAATAGCTTTCATTTAAATGGTCACACACTAGGGTTTCGTTCAAAGACTGACAAGTTACAATGACCCAGTATTACACAATAAACAGTACCACATGAAAGTGCGGCTCAATAGCTTTCATTTGATCGATAGGTCACACAGTTGGGTTTCACCAACAGACATTAAAGTTACAATTACAATGAGCGGAACATTTCAGCGACTGAGAGCAAGGCTGCAACGCTTTTCCAACACTTTTTCTAGCGCTCACTCATCAGTGATTGATGTTCATTTTCCTGTGCAGGAACAATATATCTTCATCCACGATGCCCTCCTCGAAGCAGTGTCCTGCGGGAACACAGAAGTCCACGCGAGGAACCTGTTATACCACATCAAGCGACTGACGGAGCCTTGTCAAGGAGGAATGGCGGGTTTAGCTGAGGAATTTCGAAAGCTCAATAATCCCAGTCAAGCCCGACGACAAAAACAGGGCGCAGGAGGTCTGGCAATCAGTAGATCAAAGGAAAGACTAGCTAACATTCTGCCACGTAAGTAATCGTCTCTACTCTGCATTGTATTCAGGTAGGGGTGCCCAAGGACGGTTTCTTTCTCAAATGCTTTAAAGCGCTGTTTTAAGCAATCTGGAGCGCTTTCAGAGCTCGTTAGGTCAATTGTAGTCTGCGCTATAACGTTTTTATCTGTTTGGTCATTCTAAGAGAACTTGAGTCTTCTCGAATTTAATAGGGCTTTTTTGTCCATTTCCCGAAAGCCTTAGGTCTCATTGCCTTTCAGAAAATCAAAGCTGACCCTTTTTGGTACAAAACGACATTTTTAACATTCCAAAAACAAGAGACATTAAATTTCTCATTTCACGAAAGCTCGAGGTGATAATTTTTAAGAGAATCGGAGGGGATTAAAGGTCTTCTGAACAGATAATTCACTAAAACGATGTGTTAGGTGCCCTGTTCAAAGTATGTCTTAAGAGCATAGAACAGACTTTGTGTACGGAACCAAGTTCCTAGCGGATAACAGCTTACTGTGTTTCTCATCTTTCATCTCTCACCAGACGACACAACCAGAGTGCAATTACTATCCACTCGTGGTATTGAAGGCTCCAGCAGCATCAACGCAAGTTCTATAGACGTAAGTACAGACAAATTCCCCAGATATTTTTTTTTCTACTCTTCTATTAATACTGTCTTGCGGAATTGTTAACCCACAATGCATTGCATCTTTCTCCAGGGCTATCGTCAGCGAGGCGCTTATATCGCTACCCAGGATCCTTCCCCAGATACGGTGGATGACTTCTGGGGGATGTTAATGGAGCAAAACTCGAACATCGTTGTCATGTTAACGCAACTTGACGAGGAAGACAGGGTATGCGAAACAAATTTGAGTGTGAAATAATTAGGGTAATACATCTAATGACGTAGTAACAATGGAGACAGATTGATGTAACTCAAAATATCAACCCTAACCTTGGAGAGCAGGGAGCAGTGATGCCGTATGTGGAATTTGCTGTTAGTTCTCGCCTTGTACCGAGGGTTTTACTCTAGTTAATCTGGTTTTCCCCCCTCCACAAAAACCGAAATACACAACTCAGCCACAGTGGTGGATCTAGGGGAAGGGCGCGGGGGGCCCGGGCCCCCCTTATTTTGGGAAAGAAAAACGAAAAAATCACAGAAGGAAGAAAAGCCGGCAGGGCACGCAAAACAAAACCGCCACATCCACCTTAGTTTAAGGTCTGGATTCGCCACTGCAAAGCCAGTAACCCCGACCTGCNCCCCCCCCCTCCTAAGCTAAGGCTGATGGGGCTTCCTCCCCAAATATTGTATTTCATTGCGTATTTATTTATTTATTTATTTATTTATTTTCTGCGGAAGGAATGCAAATTACTCCTGTCTTCTCTCCCATTAGGACCACTGTTACAAATACTGGCCCACTGATCGCTCTGCTAAACACCAGTATTACGTTGTGGATCCTGTAACGGAACAAGATTTTCCAAATTTCGTTATCAGAGATTTCAAGGTCAAAGATATAATGGTGAGTGTTTGAAACTACGAGCCAGTCTTCTTTTTTTTCTTAGGCTTCCGTGCGTGACGCGAAACGCGCGCAAACTCCTTGCGCGTTCTCTCGCGTCACGCTCTTCGGATCAACACAAAAGAGAGCTTGCTCGTAATCTATCGGTACTTTCAATTCCATTTGAAACCTTTTTGTTCCTATGTTTGTCAATAGCCGTCTGTACAAGGTGGTCCTAACGTTTACCACTGTGGATGAAACCCTGATGTGTGATCATTCATATGAAAGCTGTTGAGCAGTACTTTCATGTGGTACTGTTTATAATGCTGTACAAGGTGGTTCTAACTTTAAAGTCTGTGAATGAAACCCTAGTGTGTGACCTTTCAAATGAAAGCTGTTGAGCTGTATTTTCATGTGGTACTGTTTATTATGCTGTACAAGTTTGTTCTAACTTTTTAAGTCTGTGAATGAAATCGTAGTGCGTGACCATTCTAATGAAAGCTATTAAACAGCATTGTCTTATAGTAGGGTTTATTAAGCTATATTAGCTAATACTAACGTTAAACAACAACATCAAAGTCAGTTATTTGTTTGACTCAATTGTAACTTCACGTGAAACCTATGCCATGGGTAGTGACTCTCTTGTGAAATTCGCAACTAAACCAGTGGTACTCGTTTTATTTCAGAGTGGCACCGTTCGGAACATCAAACAATTCCATTTTTACGGCTGGACTGACAGTATTCCCAAGAGTGGTGAGGGCATATTGGACTTGATAGGCCAGGTGCAAAGAACGTACGAACAGCAGGAAGAAGAGGGACCAATCACCGTACATTGCAGGTAATTAACACCCTTGGTCAAAGCCGAATTAGACGACGCTATTGACGAATGGTTCGCAAGGAGGGCTCCGGATCGAGCGGTCCGTGTTTGAGCCTTAGCTGAGGTCATTGTGTTGTGTTCTTGGACAAGGCACTTAACATTCACTGTGCCTCGCTCCACCCAGGTGTATGAATGAGCACCGGCGAATTTAATGCTGGGGGTAACCCTGCGATGGACTAGCATCCAATAAAGGAGAATGGGGTGGGGGTGGGGGAGGAGAGTAGAAATATTCCTAGTCACTTCATGCTACAGAAACCGGAGATTAGCTCCGGCCTGCCTGGCTTAAACACAGACTTAAACTACCCTGCGGGTGAACAGCATCGCATTCAGGAAAAGATATTGTCAACCAAATATTTGACAAGGATTAAGTTAGTCATCGATGAGAGGATATTGTTATGATGTACAGTCAATTTCTCAATGGAGGTTCAAAGGCGTCTATACAGTTGAGTAAGGAGAACTGATATTTTTATCTGAAAGCTGACTGTAATTTATATGACTTTTATTCTCCTTAGTGATGGTATTGGCAGAACGGGCGTTTTCTGCGCCCTTTGTATAGTATTAGAACGCATGCGCTCTGAGGGAGTGGTAGATTTGTTCCAGACTGTAAAACTTCTGCGAACGCAGAGACCGAATATGATACAAAATCAGGTACGTGTGCGGTGAAGATAGCAAGTCTTTTTGCCTGGCCTAAAGCCTTAAACGTCTACAAAGTTCTGAACAAATTGAAATAATAATTAAGCTAAAATGCTGGAGATTCTTCAAGTAATACTTCAAAGGATTGTAAAATAACGTTACTTGTGGATACTTTCCAGGCTAATACTAGTATTGCTTATTTGTATATTCGTCCTTTCGTTGAGTCAGTCAGTCAGTCAGACAGACAGACGGTCAGTCAGTCAGTCAGTCCGACAGACAGACAGACAGACAGACAATAGTTGTAAATAGTGATATCTCAATGCCAAATTAAAAACGATGCTTATAGCAGACGTTTCGGGCCTATACCTTCCTCAGTGCTAAGTTTAGTTTTGAAACGGACACGTCATTCAATAAATAAACAGTTGTAGGCGCAACTCAATCGCATAGGTAAAGGCGCGCGCGCGTCAAGCTGTTTAGAAAATAAAATCCGCGTTTAGTCCTTGCGGCCTAAGGGTGTCAAGATGAAAAATTAGGCGCATTTCGTGACGGCGTCTGGCGTTGTTAGTACCCCTGCATTGTTTCACTTAGCGAACCTCCATGTCGTCTAGTCCGTGTCCGGGCTTATTGAAACACCAGACAGACAGACAGACAGACATACAGATAGACAGACAGATATACAGTTGGTATCTCTTTCTCTCCGTGATCGTTCGGTCGATTGTTTGGTCTGTTTTTATAGTGGGTAATATTTGACTTGTTTTATATTCCGAAGTGCAGCTTTTTAATGTTTCGCTTCCTTGTTTCTCTTGTAGGAGCAGTACTTGTTCTGTTATCAAAAAGCACTGGAATACCTCAGCTCGTTCGACCACTACGCCGTGTAACAAGTCATGAATTATATCGGAAGCAAGTAGTGATGTGAGCTCGTGTGTAGTGACTTCTCAACGTAGGAGTTAGGCACCCACCAAGTTATAGTTACGAAATCACTCGTCACTTTCCACTGGACACAACACTTGTTATAAAAGAAATTCCATAAACAGCAGTCACCGCGGTTCTTCAAAGAAGCAAAACTTGAAACTGGCCGTTGAAGGCAGAAACTGTTGGGATCTGTCGTCGAGTTCCAAATCAGTGAATGTCTGAACCGCGAATAAAATGGAAAAGACTGAAAGAAGTTCGTGACGGATTTTAAAGCCGTGAATTATTTAATGAATGGAACAAAGTAGTTGGCACTGGAGCTGTTGTAGAAGAAAAGCCTCGCAAATAGTGGAGTGTTCTTAAACTTCTATATGCAGAGTGTGATGACATTTAGAATATGCAGAGATTGAGAGGACATATCCATGTGAAGTGCTATTTAAAAAGTGGCGCTAAATGGGACAATAGAAACATTTCACGAATCATGTATCATTGATTTGCTTATATAAGGTTACATATTCATAATTGTAAGAATATCTTTACATACAGGCTTTAAACGCACATCGTTAAACTCAAACACTTATCAGTGTTACATTGTTTTCGATTTTTTTGTTTGCAATTAATTACTCTAGCTTTCATGGCCTGATAGTTTGAATTATATCGCGGATAATCTACAGTTTTAAAACAAGAGGGAATCAAACTAGGGAAGAAATGATATTTAACCCACGAGGACAATTCGTTTCATATTTTGTTTAGGTTCTGTGTTTGTTAGATAAGTTACGTTTTGCTGACTTTTGATTGTTTTAGCCATTATTCGTGACGCCTTACTTCAGCTTTTTTGATAAGTTTTTTATTTACAATTTTATATCAGTCAAGTTTTACTTTGCGTATTTTTAATATTGTTCATGCCTAAAATACGTTTTTACGTTGTCCTGGCACGTCAGCGTTTGACCAACTTCGTCCCTCTTTTCAAAATGGCGGACGGGAGAACGAGCCGCCATTTTGAAAATCGTCGAGGGACAAAGTTGGTGTTCACTATATTGAGTGTATCACTCAAAGTATTTTTAATATTTGCGGTCAGTTCCCATACATACGTGGTACACAGATATAAGTTATAGCGTCAATCCTTGTTGTTTGAAGACAGTTTTTTGTTCATGTTTAACCATACTATTAATTGTGTGGCGGCCAGTGATACAGGTGTATTTTTCGTAAAAACCGATTTGTTGGTCTTCTGTCTTCTAATGAATTTCGAATTGTCGATGTTTGCGAAAACTTCTACCTGTACCACTGTCCAATAGTTTGGACCTCAGGGATATTTAAGTGTGTTAACAGAGCACCATCCTCAACTTACTTAGATAGAGGATTTTACCTTCGTCCGGATTTATTACACGTATCTACCACGTGTTGATAGCGTTGTATTTTTGTTTTAATTTGGCAACTAGCTTCCTAGTTGCTACAACGAAATCAATATCTTCAAACTTTGACGAATTATTGAGCCCAATACATCTACAACGTTGAACAATACGTACTTTTAATTTTTCAAAACATCTACCTCCATTTAGGAATGTTTAAGAAAGTTGAAAAATGCACAGTAGCGAATAATTATTGTTACGGTTTATTAAATCAATTTCAACCAATCTTTACTGACAAGCGCTTTTTCGCTGAGGTCTCAAACTAGCAACTTAATTTTTTTTTTTGAAAATAACGCTTTGAATTGATACGAACTTATATTGAAATTTATAGTTGACAGATGGTTTTGTAACTTCTAGATTTTTTTTTAATGTACATAATCGAATGTATAGATTGAGAGTCAGAATTATATTTTTATAATGTACAAATTCATAGAGTAATAATCATTTTATGTACAAGCACTTTTGAAGTGCTCGCTCATGCTTGTTAATGGTTAGCATGGCCGGGATTGTCAAACGTAAGTACCACAAATAAAAAAAAAAAAAAAAAAAAAACACTCATCACTCAAGTCATGTAAATATTACTGTCTTTGGCTGTTTAAAGGGAAGAGGGGCCTTCGAATGATTCCCAAATGCCCGCCATCTTGGGTTTTGAGAAGAACCTGGAACGAGGTTAAATTGTACAAGCGCCCCCTTTCAAGCTTTTTCCCACAGTATAAAGAAAAATCCGACCGGGTTGTTCAAAGCACGATCAATCTAACCCTGGATAAGCGAACAATTTGATTTCAGTTTTGTAACTTTGCGTTGAGGTTTCCTGTTTATATTGTTTTTCCTTCAGTATTGATTATGTATATTCTCTAAAACTACACAAAACCTAAGCAGTGAAAAACATTGTTATACTAAAGAAATTCATTCGTCGGTTAACTTTAATCTCGGGTCAGCGTTAACCGGCTTCCAACAATGCGGCCCGCAGGAGGTTACTGACCAAGCTTCGGATACTACACAATACAGTATTTTTCACGAAAGACGACAGAGATTTTTCGTTCTGTACATTCTTTGCAAAACGTGTTCAGCCGACCTGTTTAGCCAAGCAAGATCAAGCAAGTTCGTATATGTATGATAAACATTTTAACCAAGGAGTGTGAATTTGAGATTGCAAATTTGTATTACAAGAAAGTTCAAAATACAATTTTAACTAAATACTGTATATGTAAGAACCACACCTAAGTTTGCTTATTTTTCTGGTAATGATCAACTAAATCTCCTTCGTAGAAATTAAGAACCTAATAAGAACCTACTTAGCCTAAATTGCTAATAGAGCGGTTTTCAATTGAGTGTCGTAAAACCAAAACCACACCAATTACTTACCAATTAGACTACTCAGCCAATCTCAAACCGTAGTAAAACCAAAACCAAAACCAAAGTAATTGTCTAATTACTTTCGGCACTCAAGTGAAAACCGCTCTAACTACCCCACGATACAAGAACCTATTTTGCCAGACACCAAAATGTATTTAGGTTCTCACAAGCGGGTTTTTACCGTATACTAGGGTTAGAATTCTGAACTAATACCACAGGGGGGCTCAAACACTACATCACTAGTAAAAATAAACGTATTGTTATTTACCTGTTCCTGTGTCTTTTTCAGTCGTTTAGAAGGAAAGGAATTTGAATAAATTAAAGCGAAGGCGGTTTACATGATTTCGACTGTTATCTTGTCTGCCGCTTTGTAATTTATGACGCTACTTCCAAAGTTTCCTTTATTTCCCCCGGTGAGAGTTAATAGTTAACGACGATAATGGAAACTTGAGACGTAATCGGAGCGTCACATCTACAAAGCGGCAGACAAGATCTGCCTCCTCCACAGACGTTTCTTATTTTTTTCTTAGCGCAAAGGGCGATTGGGAGACTGGGAGTAAACAAAAGGGTGCGAACGGGGGCTGGTAGCGAGTGAGGAACGTGAGCGCAGGGATCATTAGGTTTTTTACTATGGTGGGGGCGACTGAGGACGAGGCAGGGACAAGATAGTATTCGAAAAGTAAATCGCCTTCGCTTCATTCAAATCCCCTTTAAACGACTAAAAACAACACAGGAACACAGGTAAATTACAGTACATTTATTTTTACTGCTGACGTAGTGTTCGAGTGGCCTGTGCTAATATTAAGGAGACCAGCAAACAAATAAGAGATGATTTTTTTTATTAAGCAACTCATTAACTTAAACCATAAAAACTTTGAAAAGGGTAGATGAGTACAATAAAACTGAAGTCATAGACGAAAACGTATCATTGATGGGAATCAAAATGTTGAGATCAAGTACTGTACTTTCAACAGGGAAACTTCTTTGTTTATTAACACTCTTTCGGAAGTTTTATGACTCGGAGTCCCGCCCCGTATAAAGTCAGGCACCTCCATACCGGAACATGGACTACCTCTCTCATGGTGTTAGTACGACGGACCATACGCCTGGTAACATATTCGCCCTTCTGTTCGCAGCCCGTGTCAAATTGGAACCTTCCGGGTCCCACTGGCTCCTCTCCGTTGAAGTTCCCTGTATAGGTGTAGTTTGGAGTGATGAGATGCCCTTCGTCTTCAAATTTACCATTCCCCCAGTTACCTATGAAACGTAAACCCACAATGGTTTAGGCAAGCTCAAAGGTGCGTCTGAAATTTGAATTAACCAATCAACATTCAGCAGGAGGAAGACAAATGTATGTAACAGTCAGGCCACATTTCTCGCTAGAAAACATTGAATATTCGTGAATAGACTGATTTAAAATGCGATAAACTATAGCAGATTGTGACAAAAGAGGAAACATGAAACTTTCTGTGCCTAAGCTTTAAATTAGGCGCCAAAAATGAGTCGCCCGCGTTCGGCAACTCGTTCACCAAATTGCAGTTGTGTTATTCTGAACAAAACATCTTCTGATTTAAAAATAACAAAACTTTCCCCTACCCTCTAGAATATGCAAAGGACTGAAACACAATAGGTCTCAAAGAAATCTCTTGGGAGCGGGAAAGAGGCAATTTCTTAAAATGTTCAAAGGGCCACCTTCCTCATCTACCCTGCAAGGGAGTTCATATGCACCCTCAGCTGCCCCTAAACGAAGTTAACAATGGAAAAGTTTAACAGATTTGTGTCACGGTCTTTTAGCATGTCGTCGTATCGTGTCGAAAATATTGACATCTGGAGGCCACGTTTTCATCGATCAGGAGCTAGCATTTCGCTTACTTAATGTTCCTTTCCCAATATTCTAACCCCAACAATCCTCCACCCTACGGATTTCGCACCGATACCTACCCTTGTATCTAAGACCTTGATCTTTGTAGATATACTCTCCGCGTCCGTGTCGTCGGTCCTCTTTCCACTCCCCCTCGTATTTATCTCCGTTTGGATACGTGTAAACACCGTAACCGTTCCTCTGCCCCCCGGCCCAGGCTCCCTCGTACACAGATCCATCGGGATACCAGAGTGTCCCTTGTCCTGATCTTTCGTTTTCAAAGTATTCACCTTCGTACCTATTGATTAAATAATAAACGATTAGAATACGCTAGAAATACCACTAACGACCACTTTCAACAACGACTGCTTTTTGTCCAGACTGACTTGTGCGGAAATCAAGTCTGTTTAATGTATGGGTAGGGTAAAGTCTGTGAACGAGCCAAGTGGTTCATGAGGCCGGAGCTTATCTTGGTTTCAGTAGCATGAAACGACTAGGAGTATTTCTTTTCCCCCCTGGATGGGATGCTAGTCCAGCGCGGGGTTATCCCCCAGCATCAAATTCGCCGATACAGTACACCTGGGTGGAGAGAGGCACCGTGAGAGTTAAGTGTCTTGCCCAAGAACACAGCACAACACCCCCGGTCAGGGCTCGAATCCGGACCGCTCGCTCCGAAGTCGAGCGCACTAACCATGAGGCCACCGCGCCTCCCCTTTCTTATATACTTCCACCGAAACCTCTCCTTACACATATTCCAAAGGTTGACAGAGTCTGCCCGATTTTTTGACCTAATCAAATTGAAGGTTAATCTCACTTTCTTATGTATTGCATTAAATACTCTACTCTAAGAAATGAATTTTATTTAACAAATAAAGAAGCCTAAGCCGTGTATTATACTGTGATAAAACACGACGGGCACTTACTAAAGAACGAGGGAAATGTAGAAAAAGGAGCCGCAGGCGAGTGTTTTCTACGTTTCTCCAACGGAAATATCTGAGTTGAAAATGTGTTTACCATTTGCAATTCTTCACCGCCATCTTGGATTTTTACCCAGCCTAGCCTAGTCTTTCGGTTAATTGTTTTTTTTAGTAAGTTGTACTAAAACTTAATTCGAACAGAACTTTATACCATTATGCATTTTTGCTTACCATTAAACAACCTTCGTCACCTACAGATCAAGATCGTCCTCGGCCTCTTGCTTTACTCTAATGTATCATGTAGCCTACGTAACAAGCGTTTTTGGACCAGCGAAGAGCTTCTAGCCTGCTGGTCGCGCGAAAATCGGGGCGAGAGCGCGAAAATCGCTACAAAGGCTTGGTGTCATGTGATTGCACCTTCACTAAGTCTAGGCTTTGTTTCAGCTTCCTATAGTCTTCTAACAAGAATGAAAAACTCGTTACATGACTTGAAAATCCCCGCTCGATCCCGCGGCTATCGAGAAAGACAAGAACTGCGAAGACTGATTGTAACAAAGAGAGGAGCTATTGAATTCTCAGTACCATATCGCTAGAGTTTCAAGGAAGAACGTAACCGAGATGAAATACGAATTTCTCTTAACTAATATTAGAGAAATGTATGATAATTGGTAAAGAGAAAATACTTTTTGAGGTAGATATTAGGACTGGAAAGGCAAGCGCAAAAAAAGTTAAGTTTTCCCGTTTTTACTGTGTGATTTTTCTGTATGCCAGTTACCTTGCCTTTCTACTGACAAATTTGTATTTCCCGAATCCATGTCTTTGTCCATTCCGATATTGACCTTGATACTCGTCGCCATTTGGTAGCAGAGCTTTTCCTTCGCCATGACGTTCTTCTTTCTCATTTCTGTCACCTGAGTATTTCCCGAGATATATCTTGATCTCGTCCGCCCCATCACTTCCTAAACTATGAAACGACATTTTTTTACCGTTCTGACGGAATCCTCGATTTTCTTGTCGCCTTGACTTTAAAGCAATATGCTTTCCTGTTGTTCTCTTTGCTGTCTCAGCAAGTCCTGCGAGTAATCACGGTGGTTACGTCACAAAGCTACTGGCATTCCATCTGTTGAGCGCGCGCGCCCACTTAGGCATGTATTGCGTTATGCCCACAGTAACGCAATCTACCTAACATATGTAACTGTGTTGTACCTGTAAAATAGGGCCAGTGTCACGGAGTTTGAATTGCTTGAGAGGTTCGACAATAAAAATGGCGATCTTACCAAGAGATCTTACTCAAGAGGAAACCTTGCTGGGTTTCGGCCGCAGTTTTTAAGGTCCATAATTATCAATTTAAAAGATTGAGACAGGTTGGGGGGAGGGGGGAAGGGTGGGGTGAGGGATAGGGAAGTTTGGTACCCAATAGACCATTTTACAGTTGTCTGCTCAGTGACCTGGCCTTTGTGTGGCAGCGAGGCTAGAGTTGACCTTGTTTTAATACAGACCTCACTGCTTTTGTCATGTAAATGCACCTAGTTAGCATCAGAACAACTTGTTTTACACAACAAAAGCAGTGAGGTCTGTATCAAAACAAGGTCAACTCTAGCCTCGCTGCCATACAAAGGCCAGGTCACTGAGCAGACAACTGTAAAATGGTCTATTCACGAGAATTTGGTCCAATTGAATATATCTAGGGTGGTTTTCGATTGAGTGTCGTAAACCAAAACCAAACCAATTACTTACCAAGTAGACTACTCTGCCAATCTCAAACCGTAATAAACCGTGTGATTACTTTCGAGACCAGGAGCCATAATCGAGACTCAATTGAAAACCGCTCTCAAAGATACTCAAAGATTTCTTTTGTAATTGCAGATAGCCCAATCAGGAGTCGTTGTTTATATAGAGGAATTTATATTCATTGGAAATTTTTTGACAGCAAGCTGAAATGGATTGCCATAGACTAGAAGAATCGAAAAATCGTAACACTGGAGTTGTCTAGCGACTCGACAGGACGGCGCGCAGGCCCGAGAGATTCTGCTGAAAGGCCCTGGAGACTAATGTGGCCTGGACACTAGGAAGACTTTATGAGCCGGCTGTGAGCTGGCAGCGGATCATCAAACAAACATGGCGGACAAGAAGGTTGGAGCTCTTGTCAACCACGTTGTAATGCCTGGCGATGTTATCGGAAAGGTAGCAGATTTGGAAGCAACTCTTGAAGGAAAAAGCAAAATAAAGTTCGGCCCCGGTTTACGAGAAGAAAATGGAGTGATTTTAGCCTACAAAGCTGGTGTATTGAGACATCGAAATCCGGCAACCTACCTGATCGACTGCAATCAAAGAAGGGTTAGTTGAAAACAAGCTTGCCGTCTCCTTGCAATGTTCGTGTTTGTTAATTTTCGAGGACTTGGTTTTGCATATGAAGTGTTTGAAATAATTTTTAAGGTGTGATGTTTCATGGATTGGCATAGAAATAGCTAGTACGATTGCTTAAACTTTCCACTATAAATGTTTGATCCCACAATTACTGTAGTAGGGTAATTTAAAACGCATTCCAATTGTTGAGATCGAAAAAGAATAACATTGTATATGCATTGTAAGTGTGTTGTAAGAAAATGTATTATTTACATTTGAAAAGGCTGGAAAATCAGTAATCTGGGACCAAGTAATTCTCGGTCAGCATTTGACAACAACAACAACAGCCCCTCCGGGGGACTCCCATATAAAATGTACGGGGCGGGGAGGGTGGGGGNGGGGGGGGGGGGCAGAATTCTTGTCAGAAATTTTGAAAAGAACCCCTAAAAGGTACCAAGATCCTGTTTTGTGGACGTGCCTTGAAATTTTTTTCTCCCCTAAGAGGTACCATTTCTTACATAATTCATTATCTCCTGTCATATTTTTTCGGCTCAATACTCTAAAAGGTACCACAGATGCTCCCACTGTGGACTTTTTGAGGCTAAACACCCTAAGAGGTACCAAAACTGCTTTTTAACCCCTAAAACGTACAACAAACACCCCTGTCCTGTTTATATTAGAGTACCCCCTCCCCCAAGGCAAAAGCATCATACACCTGTATGGTTATTAACTTGTTATTGCCCTGGCTTATGAAAGATTTAATTTAATTAGGGTAAGGTTCGGCTTTTTTTTTAAAGATATTTTTATAGCTCTAATAATCACTGAGGTCTTTAAGAAAATTGTTTAATTTTGAAAGATAAAAGAATGAGATATGGGATGTTTAAGCCAACAACTAACAGGGTATGGGATACTTAGCTTTGCCCCCACCCCTCATCCCCCATATTAGGGGGGAAGGAATTCCCCCCTAATATATCCTCATCATTACTATATTTTATGTTATTCCAGTACATCCCAGTCAAGGAGGAAAGAGTTATTGGCATTGTAACCAACAGAGGTTCCGATAGCTATAAAGTAGATATTGGAGGGGCCATGCCTGCGTCACTACCAACTCTGTCATTTGAAGGAGCTACCAAAAAGAACAAACCCAACATTCAGGTAGAACACATTCCGATAAATTATGCGTCATATTTTGAGGCTTAAGTTGCTGTCTTGAAGGCACGGTGGCGTGATGGTTAGTGCACTCGACTTGGGAGTGAGCGGTCCAGATTCGAGCCCTGGCCGGGGACATTGTGTTGTGTACTTGGGCAAGACAATTAACTCTCACAGTGCCTCTCTCCATCCAGGTGTATAAATGAGTACCGGCAAATTTAATGCTGGGGGCAACCCTGTGATGGACTAGCACCCCATCCGTGGGGGAGTAGAAATACTCCTAGTCGCTTCATGCTACAGAAACCGGAGATAAGTGCCAGCTGGCCTGATGGGCCACTTGGCTCATTATGCAGACTTTACTTACCTACCTAAAATGCTGACTTGTGATACTTTTCAAACAGTAGGATAATAACCAATGTAACTTGAGGAACTATAATCAATCCCTATTTAATTACATGTACATGTAATTTTTCCTCGACAAGTTTCCTTGTTTGAAACCTACAATTGTAGTTTGGCAGTGTGGGGGACTGTCTACTTACTGATCAATTTGTTTTGCTGCTGTCAATCATGTTAGCAGGCCCTTAGACAATAGACCAAGGCTACATTGTACTTCTACGGGTTCAAGGGGTTCTGTCAGCATGCAATATCCATTTTCTTTCTCATAGCCATTGCTGTATTTTTATTTCAGATAGGTGACATTGTTTATGCAAGACTGTGTATTGCGAACAAGGACATGGAACCTGAGCTAGATTGTACAGATGGCAGTGGAAAAAGCAATGATCTGGGGCAATTATCTGGTGGATTTATGATCAACTGTTCTCTTGGGCTTTCACGAAAGTGAGTGAGATTTCTATGAGTCCTGGAACTTTTGATACACCATAAAATTCTAGTTATTGTAAACAAGCCATACATCTACGAAGAAGCAAAAATTGTACCCAGAAATTATTCATCAATTCGTCCATGTTCTTCAGTTGATAACCGAGCATAATATTCTACTTATTGAAAACCTCCCTGGACGTAAGTCTCCTTACTGACACCAAAGGATGCGTAGTTTACACATGAATGTAAACACAAGATGAAAACTCAACTTACAGCTGTATCATGGCATTGCTGGCCAGTGCCATGATGTCATTCATGCTTTGTAAATTACTTGGGGAGAACAAGTGGCCTTGGCACTAACCAAACCTCAGTATATCTACAAACCCGTTCCAGTTTACAAAATATGGTTTTTGTTATTTAACTTTTTCTGTATTTAATGTATTCAAGAATTTTCATTTTGAAACTTCATCTTAGTTTTTACTTTTTGTAACCCTCCCTTCTTGCCCCTAAAAAGCCTTAAGTTTAAAGACCTTTAAGAAATTGCGTGAATTATTTCGCCACTCCCCCAACCCATTGTCACTAGTACTTCCAATACCAGAGTGGGATAGGTACCTGGAATTAACACCCATCAGGCGAGCCTTTATCTCTAGTTTCTGTAGCATGAAGCGACTAGGAGTATTTCTTCTTTCCCCTTGATGGGATGCAAGTCCATCGCAGGGTTACCCCCAGCATTAAATTCACCGGTACCCATTTACACACCTGGGTGAAGAGAGGCACTGTGAGAGTAAAGGTGAAGTGTCTCACCCAAGAACACAACACTGCATCCTCCGGCCAGTGCTCTAACCAGACCGCTCAATCCAGAGTGGAGTGCACTGTTTATTAGTGATTCTCTAGTTTCTTTTTTGCAGACTTCTGAGCAAAGAGTTTGTCCTCTTAAAATGCCTTGAAAGGCACTTCCCGTTTGAGTGCACAGTGGGGATGAATGGCCGTGTGTGGATCAATTCAGCGTCAACACCCAACACTGTAGCCATCGCTAATGCTATTTCGAACTCTGAGTACATGACAAATAATCAAATTGAGACAATGGTGAAACAGCTTGTAAAGGGAATACAGTCTTAATCCTTAAACCTTAGCGGAAACATCAAATGTTCTTTTACTCATTGTGGGACAGACTCATTTGTAGTTTGTATGGAATCTCGTATCAGAGAGAAAACTTGCATCAAGACAAAGCAACATTTTCATTATGGAATTGCAACTTGTAACTATCATAAGCTATCATAAGCTTGATCCAGCAATCCAGACTGACAAACATGAAAAATTGGCTGGTCTCAAAAACTAACTACAAGCCATGTGTGACTCCCTAAGGAAAGACCATGTGGTAGAAGAAAGAACAACTGAAACCTGGATGTAATAGACTAGATGTAATGCAATGTTAGCAACAAAATCGAAAGCAATGCTTTTTGCAATATTTCACAGCTTTGTTTCTTTACACTTTGAATCACATAATAAGACCAAAATATATGGTCTGCAGGTACTGTTGCAATTGAAGATACCAGCTGAGTATTTAAGAGAAAGAGCACGAGATATGACATGGTGGCAGGCCTTATGTGCCTACTGGCACAAAGAGCAGTGATGACGATGATGCTGCTGCTGCTGCTGCTGCTGATGATGATGCATGATGATGATGCACAAGATATGCTCTAAGGGACGGACCATTATTTTT